ATAAAATATACCAACATTTTAATGACTGATGATTAACATGCTGTAATACACAGTTCAAAATTAAAAGCTCAAATGCTGTACATGAGAGGTTAAGCTCCCCCTGGCGGTTTTACAAGGTGACGCCGGATAGTTTCCGGCATGACGTCAAATGACGCGATTAACCGCGTGATACCGCGTCATACCGCGACACGCCCACCGGGGAATGCTGCGAAATACCCCACCCATTTTGAATGGCTGCATCTGTATATAAATTCTGTTCTTCAAGACTAGAGGTTTCCATGAAGTCCTGCATTTTATTTTTTTGTGTATTATTACTATCGTTGCTGTAATCTAGACATTATTGCTTTTGTACAATCAGAAGAAAGAGGAGAATTCCATGTATCAATTAAATGTCACTTTATTTTTGAGTTTATTTTTTTTAAGTCTGAATCAGTCTCTTCTTTTGTTTTTGCAGTAGGTTTTAGTTCGAATATGAAGTGACAGTTGTTCCATCTCACAGTTTATATATAAAAATAATATCACAAATACAACGTAAAGATTTGTGGGGATGAAAAATAACATTTTTGTTCTGGATATTCAAATCAGCTTATGCACTTTATTTTAAACCTCTGAGTAGTTCTGTTGTTTTGCAATTGAAAATTTGTGAATTCTGCAGTTTAGCTCAAGCTAAATTAGATACTACACTATTGTAGGCCTGTAAGAGCAAATTTGAGCTTCCCTGAAAAGCTGTTCAACTGGCAGCAATGAGGTTTCTTTGTGGGGCTGCTGGGCTCACTCTCCCTGACAGGGTGAGGAGCCCGGCAGTCTGATGGGATCCTGGAGGAGACTCTCTGCTCCTCTGGATCGAGAGGAACTTGTTGTGGTGGCTCGGGCATTGGGTGAAGATGGCCCCCTGGCGCCTCCTACTGGAGTACTGGCGTCAAATCACTCTCACAACTTTCTGTTCCAACCTACAGTATAATCGTTACAGTAAATTAAGACCCTACCATCACTACACATGGATACAGGGGGAGTTACTTTATGTTGTGTTGTTAAATCGTTTTCCCAAAAATTAAAAAAGGTGATTATAAAGAGGATAATAATACCATACACAAAAGCAATAGTAACACCATTACTAATAATCCCCCGCTATGAATTGACTTCATCACTCTGCTCTCCTCCCCACTGAGAGCTGGTGTGTGGGGAGTGTACTGGCGCGCTATGGCTGCCGTCGCATCATCCAGGTGGGGCTGCACACTGGTGTTGGTGGTATAAATACACTCGGAAGTAGACAAAACACTTCAATAAATAGTTCTTTACCAGTAAGCCCACATTCTGGAAACAAAACAAACGAAACAATGAAATAATGTTTTTTTTTAATGCATCATTTGTATTTATAATGCAATTTTTCTTTCGGTAACATCTATGATATAGAAAATATTTTTCATGCAACAGAAATGATGCACTATTGTAAAAAAACATTCAACAAAATTATAAGCTTGCACTAGAATTTACTTAGTTGATATTGAAGATAGATTACTGTTGTTGAATTAGCAGGGATAAAGTGGTAACAACATCATGTGTGAATATAATGTTATTCTCTGAAAAGCCTACTTTTTATGTCTCAGTGGCTTAGAATTTAATAGTTTTTTTACATCTATTTCTGAATTTATGCAATTATGATTCTGTATGAATTTTGAATTTGACCTTTTTTGAATGGTGTTTGATTACAGTCCCATCTGGAAGAAGTGAAATAACTATTACCATTTTTCTTCACCGGTATGATTTGGCTCAGCTGACTAAAGCAATAAGACTTTTGTGAAATAACATGTCATGCTTTCTTATCCTGCTTCCCTCATTGTCTGACAATAAATGTTTTATTTATCCAGTTCGGTTTCCAGCAAGCTCATGCTCATTAATATAAATCACTTGGACTTATATTAATGAGCAACAGCTCGCTGGTAACATTGAGCAGACGCAATGTATACAGTACATTGATTGCATACTACAATTAATTGTTGGCCGAAGGCTCAATGTTTTGAGTGGATCAGTCGTGTCAGTTGTTCTAGGCTTATGTAAATGGGAAAAAGCTGTTAGCAAAACAGTCAAACAGTAAGAAATGCACTGGCTGATTGTTTAATGAGAATGAGACATTTGCTCATATTCTTCGGCCAGTCCAGCAGACTGGCTGCCTGACCTACTGTATCACAATGCATGCTCATATTGTTAAAAGCTAACTTCTTTCTTAACTTTTTAATTCAAGCTTCACCGACAGTGACAGCTACACCCAAGCCAGGTAAATATGCAAATATGAAAAATCATTTCCATTACAGATAAAAATCCTGTTGAAAAGTGCAATATTAAGTCATAAATGATGTGAGGGAGAGAGGCAAAGTAATAGATCAATCAAATTTATCTCCCCCCTCACATAGGAAGAAGGCTTCACAGCCTTTACCTTTCAGCATGGAATGAACTTTTACCTATTGCTTTGCAAAAATAACTTGCACCTTTTTAAGTAATCACATTTTCTGGCATTTACTGTACGTTATTTGTCATTTTTATTACTTCCCCACATTGTCTTGTCTTGAAGATGTAATATTGTCAACATACCTGTAATTACTCAAGTCTTTGTCATCTTCAACCTTAGTCTTACCCATTTTATATTAACGTTGTGCTGCCTGGATGTTACTTTCTGCACTTGACTACATTAAACATCATCTGACTAGTTCACGCACTGGTCCATAATTCTGGTTCAGAGGGAAGAACCTTGTTCATCTTCTGCTAATATGACACCAGCAGCTGGGTTTTCATTAGAGAAATAATTTTTTGTACTTTGTCCCGTTTTAGTACCGTTCAGGCCAAACCTTGCCTGGGTTCTGAGATCAGGTAGAATGGAATTTAAAACGAAAGTTCGAGACAGATGAATACAGCCAAGTTCAATCGGACTCGGCTGTCAGACATTCGCAATCACTTCTGATATCATGTCCTCACCTAAGACATGATAAATACTGTACTCTACATGATCCCTTTCTCTCCCGCAAATACCACCCTCCCTGCATCCCACCTCCGCCCCATCTCCCCCTCTGCAGCTGCCCCTGGGTCACCCCTCACTCTGCAGGGGGGTCCCAGCCTCCTTGTCCTCTGGCCCTCAGCCAAGTGGGTTTTACCACCTTTCTGGACGGAGCGGTGGCACTGTGGCTGAAAGGTTGCCGGTTCAAATCCCGTGGCTGGCAGAGGAATCCTACTCTGTTGGGCCTTTGAGCAAGGCCCTTAACCCCAGCTGCTCCAGGGGCGCCGTATAAATCCTGTGCTCTGACCCCCAGCTTCTCTCTCCCATCTGTGTGTCTCATGGAGAGCAAGCTGGGGTATTCGAAAAGACAAGTTCCTAAATTGTATATGGCAAATAAAGTGATCTTATCTTATCTCTCTTTCAGTACACTTACTTCTTGGTTGTTGTTACTCCTAGTGAAGTCAATAATGCTGTAGTTAGTTTTAAAGATATTCAGTAGAGTTCAGAAGGGGAAACAGAGCCACCTACTCACCCACCAGCACTACTTACAAAATGTACCCATTTAAGATACCTTACTCTTATGTGAGTTTTTCTAGGTTTGTACGAAAAATAAGAAACAACAAGTTCAGACTTTATTTTTTTTTAAACAATGATTTGTTTTTAAACTTTGCTTTGATCTCTTTCACACTACAGAAAAGAAGAAATGTACAGAAAACTCCTGTGGATCACAGCTGGCAGCGTGTGTGAATCTCAAAGACAAGTATGTTTGCCAGTGCAGTTTTGGATTTTACTACAACGAATTGGAAACAGATTGTGAAGGAGGTAAGAAAACCAAAAACCAAGTAGATCTGTACTATAATACTCTGGAAAGTGTCTGGTGCGCTACCCTTGTGTGCGTCTTGTTATAAAAGATAAACAGATGTCATTTCTTAAAAACAAACGATATAACTTGAGTTCTGTTCATCAAAAATTAAAATTGAGGCATGTGAGGCACGAGGCATCGGGCATCAAAATTAACATGGTTAATGACTGATGACTAAAAAAATTCACTCCAGCATGAAATGTCTTGATATTGTTATACAAGTTTCCTTCATGGTGATAAGTTAAAAAAAGTAAAAAAGACTTTGTGAAATCATATTTTAAAGTAAGAAGAAGAATCCTTGTTTTAAACGTTTTTTTTCTCATGACCATCCCAGAAACACAAGTTCAGTTGATTAACTTTAATGAGATTTTTTGCTCCAATTTGTTCTTTAATTTTGCATGGATACAAAAAGGATAGTTTCTGCATACTACATCTTTTATGTACTGTAGATGTCTTTATAGGGCACCAAGACTTTTCAGAAGTAGCCCCTTGTCTTTGGAATATTCTTCCTGTCCATAAATGACTCACCTATTTGTTTTTATTTAATCTATGTACTTTTTTGTATTATTCTTTTTTCTGTTTGCTGTAATTCTTTCTTTATATGTAGAACTTATGTAAAGCACCTTGATAATGGTCTGGAGCAGCTATTTAAGAAATAAAATGTATCAATTAATTATTAATATAAATTACATTAAAATTGACTAATTATCTACATGCACATTCATTGTTGTTTTGAAGGAAAATCCTTTCCTGGAGGTTTCAACATTAGCACTACCTTTGGTGTTAATGTGGAAGACAAAACATCAGAGAATTATACACAGCTTTATGATTATGTGATACAGATTGTACGTATTTTAACTTTTGAATTTATTTACTAAAGATTTTGCTTTGCTTACTGCTGATATACACAAAACTCTGTTTTTATTATGCGTTTTAATATTCTGAAAATTATTTCCTTATGGGGGTGAGCTAAGTTGCAATTTATAAAAACAATTATAAATTGAGTGGAAAAACTGAAAAACCGCATTCGTTAAGCTTTATAACTTTTGTCCTTACGTCGTCTTGGCTAACAAAAAAACACACCTTTTTGTGATCTAATCAGTAAATGAAAATTTCTTAACACCATTTTCAATTGTTTTGTTAATTTCTGTCTTTCCATAAATGGCATGAGTATAATCGTTATATAACACAGAGCAGATCACAGGATAGATTAATAGTGATCTACTGTATATCACAGATAATACGGACACGTGTAGATCAGCTACATAGCTGTAGCTATGGAGTAAATCTTCCATACCGCCTGATACCACCTGGGGTTTATTTTATTCAAATTCTTATAAAAGGGCATAATGTAAAAATACACCTGAAGAAGGCTCCACGGGCGAGACGTTGTGTTTTCTGTCTTCTCTTTTCAGCAGGGAATAAACCTATTACTTGTTCCTTTGCAGCCTACGCATGCTGACGCAGCTGCCCACCTGAAATAATGTAGAAATGACCGCCTGTGGGTTTTGAATTGAAATAGATAGATAGATCATACTTTATTAATCCCGTAGGGAAATGGAGTTGGTCATTAGGAAATTCTAGTCATCCATTCCATAGGATCAATTATAGATACTGTAGATCATAAAAACAGCCCTGTCCGTTAACCTCAGTGTCACACCACAAAATTGCAGTTTGAGAGCCCTTTCTCTCCTGTATTTAGATCAGCTCTGCCTGACCCCCGTTTTCTTAAGGGGTACGCTAAACTCCCAATATCTTGCGTACGCCACAGAGGTGCCTGGGCTCCACTGTATCACGTTTCCACAGATGTTTTCTTCTACAGTCCTGTGCAAAGCGCAGCTGTCTTTTCCACGCGCCACGCGCTTCGTCCACGTCTTGCCGCTGCAGCTCGTGCTCTCCGCTGGCTCCTGCTCCACCTTTAAATGCGTTTCCGGCACAATGAAGGAACATCTTTTAATCTGTGTTTAAATTACGTTTTAATATTTTTACAGAATAAAGAGGCACTTATAGATGAGTCGGATTTCAAAGAAACAATTGTGAAAGGCATTAGGTGAGCAGTTCGTGTTATTTTGTACTGTATATACAGTAATATTGAACTTGTAAATTCTTCAATACGATAAACACGTGCTTATGTTAATTTATTAGTGTACTGTACAGTATATGCACACATGGAGCTCACGTGCTATACCATTTAAATGTAGAACACATGAAATAATTGGCCAATGTCTGTAATGTAACCTATAAAGCCTTTACCAAAATCGTTTTGATTCTGTCGAACAATTTACACTACACACCATCTGTCATAAATACTTGTAGATAGTATAAAGACGGAACAAATAAAATCTGCACTTTTTTATGGCATTTTTATTTAAATTACATTTCTGTATTTAAACAAAAATGACAAGGTTTGCACTTATGTAACTAGAATACAACACAAAATAGAACTAAATGTCTTATTGTGAAGTATAGAAATGTAAAATAATACAATATATGTGACTTCCTAACGAGATCATACAATATACGATATAGTTTAAAGGCATTTTCGATTGCACCTAATAGATTAGTGAATTATTTCACTGCAGGTTAGATCTGCAATTTCATGGTACAGTATATTGTACTACAGTGACTTGGTAGCAAATGATATCCATTAATACCAAATATTGGCTCTATGGGAATGTTGAATTTCACCACATAGGCACCACAAGTGTCTAATATGATAAAACATTATTTTATATTAACTTTTTGAACTACAGACACACTGGAGGAAGTACATATATTTCCAGGAGTGGAAGTGCACTGGAGGTGGACTTTATAAATATGTTTTCAACAACATTCGAAAAAGGACCAGACGTCGTGGACACAAAAATTATAAATTACCTTAAGGAAGCACAATTGCCAAATATTATATTTCGCAGTAAGTAATCAAATGGTTAAATGTGTTGTTATGCTGAGGGTTAAGTTTATATTATAATAAATTACAGCCATAATTGATTTAATGTTTTATATATCAAAAACTAACATTGTTAAAATACAATGTAGCACTTACACTTACAGTAATAGAGGTAGATTTAATTTGGAAAGTTTGGATGTGGTTAAATTTTATCATTTGTGGCAAGAAAGTTTTAAATTCACTTTTGTAGGGATTCACAGGGGTGCGCTTTGAGAAGCCACCTTTAAAGGCGCTATATAAAATAAAGTTTATTATTATTATTATTATTAATTTCGAACAGCCCTGTTTACATGTGATTGATTCAGTTTGCCCCTCGGCTTGAACACAGATATACTGTACATAAAGGCCTAGCACAGACTTAAGTGAACACTGAATGCAGAAATACCTGTACAAACAGCAGTGATGTTATTCAGCAGTACTTAACACTGACTTATGTGCATACCTACAGCACAGGATTGAAGTGAAGGGCTTCAGGGATCCTTGCCTTGTGCAGAGGCATTGTGAGGTTCACAGCTGAAGGAGTTGCAGTGATATTGGTATTGCTGCAATTCTAAAAATGGCACAGGACTCAAAAGAGTTCCAACATTATTCTGTGCAGTGGCATTACCATCAACCACAACAAACATGCAATCCAAAATAGCATAAATGTTACTTTGCCAAGAGCAAAAAGTATTTTTCCTGTATTGACAATCTTGACCTTTGCCAAGTGTGATAGCATTCACCGACACGCAGCATTCCAGAGCGTAGTCTTCCATTGTGAAGACTGCAGTGCCTGCAGTCAGGCAGACTGGGGGCATTCAGTTGAGAAGCTACCTTTGCCAGTTTCAGGTACTGGCAGCACTCAATCTGTGTGCAAACATCACCTTTGGATTTACAGAGTCACAAACACACATTTCGCAGCTCAATGTTGCTAATTTTATACTTCACAAATGGAAAAATAAGAACAACAGACATAAATGAGCTGGAACATTTTCAATGTCTGGCAATACTTTGCTCAGACTAATTTTTGTCACTTACATAATTTGTAAGCAGCGAAAATTAAGTGTTTCATATTACAATTGAATATTGAATATAGCACATATTTAATCAAATCAACATGAAGCACTATTTTAAACAATAGATGAAGAGGCTGTTAAAACTAACATATAAATCAATATTATGTTAACAAATAGAAGTATTAGTTTTACATCACTGAGATTAAATAACCATAAAAACTGATATGTGTAACTGCCCCATAGTTCACCGAATGAAATTGTTTTTCTCCTGGATCGTGTGGAAAATAGCACTTAAGACTGAGAAGTATGATTGGTGGTACATAAATAAAAGACGTTGCATGAAAAAGATACCACCCTCACCTTACTTTATCACTGTCACCTTCCTCTTCCCTCAGATGTAACGTCCTGCGACGTTTATGGCTGTGACAAACAATCTTCAAATTGTGCCCTAAAAGGCAACAGCCCAGTATGTGAGTGCAAAGAGGACTATAAGAAAAATCATCCTCTTGACGTGTCCTGTGTGAAACTGGAAGGTGCGCTGATTTAACCACTTAAAAGCTGTCGTCTTAACAGCTGTGTTTATTTTTACCAGCGAAAAAAGGAGTATGAGCCTTGTAATGGCACAAATGAGGATGTTATTACTGTACATAATAAACCCCCAAACAGTTAATTATGTCTCATACTGATGTTAGCTCTGATTTTAAATATCCCAGAAGTTCGATGTGAAAGGTTGTTATATTTATTTGTGGAGATTCAGTATAAATACTTAAAGGATGAAGCCCTTTCACTCAACGAGACTGAGTCTTGTCACACACTGCTGCTATGACAGAGGGGCTTGTGCTGAACAGGAGCCTGCTGTTGACTGTGTGATGTGTGATGACAGCATTTGATCTGAGGCTGCCCTGGTGTGCCTTACCTGACCGCATGGATCCTTGCAATAGGAGTTTAAAGCCATAACAATTTATCTTTAAAATGGTCAGTTTCTTATACAACATTTATATGGTAAACTGTTTTACTGTTTGTGAAATTATCCACTTTCAGTAATGTTCCAATACTGATTTGTGAGGATTGGGAAATGAATGTATTCTGTAGCAAAGAGATTTTTAAATGGAGCTAACTTTTATTTTCTTTTTCTTTATTTTATACACATGGACATTCGTGGACTGATTTGTAGGATCTGACACAAGTACTGTCTCCGACAGTAAGTTACATTTATGCACAAATACTATGCAACAGAAATGCAAAACAACCTAGTATTTTTTTATTCTTGCTGGCACAAAATACGTCAAACATTCACAACTTTGAATGTCCTAACCTCATACAAATAAAATATTTATACTGAGTAATAGTGATTTTAATACATAAAATAAGCACCAAAACATTTTGAGTGCTTAGTCTTGCAGCAATGTTGCAGTATAGCTTACAGTACCAATAAAATGCATTTATGTTAAACTAAACTGGGCTGCCCAGTTAGATCTCTTAGCTGTTCTCAATTAAATGTAATTCTGTGCTCACCTTGATCAGTAATAATTGAATATTGAATACTAAAATATTGACAAAATACCACTTCTTAACTATTAGTACAAAATGGCTCATAGTTTAATTTCTGTGTATTTTATTTAAAACATTCCATGAGACAAGAACTGTAGTGTTGCATTTGAAAAGGGATTTTAATAGATTGTTCTCTTGCTTTATTTTCAGATACCATGAGAGATATTCTTATAGGAGTCAGTACTGTGGCAGGAGTTACTATTATTGGTTTGACTGCAGGACTTATAGTTATGGCAATGAGGTTTGAAAATATTTTTATTCTATATATGCTAGCATTTATACAGAAGGCTTCTGTTAGGAAAAAGGACTATAAGTTTTATTATACAGTATGCTAGATAATTTCTTCATCTATAGTAGATATATCCTTCTAGCTTAGACAGTCCATCTGAAATCAGTATGCTCCTGTTGTTAAATATGTCCATGTTTATGAATAAATAATTCTAAGAAGGATAAGATGATACAAAGTAATACCGCATATACATTAAATATTTTGCAAGGTGAAATTAAATAGAAACTGTAAAAAAAGACCCATTTTATATTGCTTGTATAATTATACATTGATTTAAGAAAACATAAGATTGTTCTCTTTTACTAATTACAGTAAAGAGGATTGCTGAAACATCCTGATTATTTGTGTGTGCTCAATGAAATGATGTATAACAAAAATTAAAGTTAAAATTTCTTCTACTGTCTCAGGAAAAAACTCAAGGATGATAAACCTGCGTCGTTCTCCATGATGCCCACATTCTCTGTGAAGAATCACAGAGACTCAGAAGATGGCAGTCAGATGACTCAACGCCCACCTCCCTTCCCCAAGAC